AGATGAACTTGTAAAGAAGTTGTCAACACAACAGGACTCCAAATATTTTTGTGTAAGTGAAAAAGCACTCTGCTATCTCCCCCACAGCTTTAGGATGTCGGTTATTTTACATTGGTTACATGGGGCCTTTTAAACTGTATTTTGCTTTTGTGGAGTAGAGCAGCTGTTTGAGACTAGAAGGTTTTGACTCCTTCTTAAGCAGTTGGACAGGAGATGGTGAAGATATGCTGGAAAACATCTTCTTGTATTGAAATCATTACATGAAATAACGCTGATTCTCTAGTTTCCTGTTGGGGGAACATTTTCATGCAAATATTGTAAAGCCAAGTCTGTCCATTTCATTTCTTGTTCTTTTACTGACTCCGTTGTGCCGCCATTATCTTGTTCTGGTTCAGGAAGCTCATTCTGAGAATACAAAATGGTACAATGCATTCTATACTTACAAAGCACCCTAAGGGGAGCAAGTTAGTAACATTTCATACTGATAAATACACAGATCCACAACTAAGACTGGATGGAGCATCAGAAGGACATGTACTGTACATACTGCTCCCATTAAAAATATCAACAAGCCCAAATATGGGCATTCTATTTTCTACAAGAATTCTGTGCTTAGTTTTAGAAGTGAATTCGTTTCCTATCTTGGTGGCTGGTGGTCCCAAGTAATGCACACGTGGCAAAATAAATTATTGTAATGTCTGGTAAATATCAGATATAAGTGCAAATATTCTATTGCTTGTTTACAATCTTTCTCCAGCAATGAAGTCCAAATATAGGTATTCCATTTCAGAATTTTAAATAAGGCATTCTATCAAATATCTTTTTACTGTCCTATAGAAGGTAATAAAATAGCAAAATAAGCACTCTGTCTCGAAGTTGAGGTCCGTGACCCAAAAGAGGAGAGGCTGTGCTAGTGCCATAGAGAAAACTGGAAAGCACTTCTAAAGTTTGCTTTAGTAACAGAAAACTGATGAACAGACAAGCTGTCAGGACAAGCAGTGGTTTAACTGTTTTGTTTTTCTTTTAAACGTTATTCTCTAAGTGTTGTCATAACTGTACAATTGCTAGAGAATGTGTTATTCCCCAGAACATCTGGTCAGGGTTCTCAGTCATGTGTCGTGGGACCCCTAGCATGAGACAAACAGAACTCCTCAAACTTTAGGATTTTGTTCACTAAGAACCTGATCCAAGGCCTGTTGAAATCAGTGGGAGTCTTCTCATTCTTTTCAATGGGCTTTGGATCAGACACTGAAGGCAGAAGTAGTGGGTCAGGGCTCAAGTGGGGTCATCTACTGCCCATGACTCTAAACAACACCAACTTTCCAGTCAGCTTCGGCTTGACTTTGTTGAATGAAAGAATATCCCACAGCAGCCATGCTGGTTTTATAGCCTGCTAACATCCAATCTGCCTCAATGGCTGAGGCCTCAGAGGGCCTTTAGGTCTACACCCAGGCCTCTCTCTACTGTTAAGTAAGAGTGCCCACAGGGACAGGACACCTCAGAAGTATGTTGCAAGTAACTCTTCCTCCTCTGCAGATACTGTTTGTGTGCACGATTCTCAATCTTCAAGAGTAAGTACATAGCTCGTGGAATCTCTCCCATCCCTGCCCCCCCAAAAAAGTGACTATCATAAAATGAAGGCAAATGCCAGCACAGAAGCTGTTTTTACATTTAGTCAGTTTAATGAGGCACATCCCAGTAAACTCCAACAGGTTGGAGAGTCTGGGCTTCCATGTCTCAAAAACATAATCACAGATTGGCAAGATGGAGGTAGGATTGTTTCCTAAAGCCTGAATACAAACAGCAGAGCTAAGTGAAGATAGTGAGTTGCTATACATATGCCTGCAACAGACATCACTGACTGTCCTAAGGCAGACAGGATAGGCTGCCTCACCTCTGACCCAGCTGACCCTGAGATGGGCCTTTAGGCTTCAGACTTCAAAGTAATGTAAAACGTAACAAGACCGCTATCCCAGCATGGTCCTTTAGTGACAATACTCTCTGGAACAGTGATGTCAAACAAATCCAGAAAGTCAGGTAGACTGCCACAAAGATGAATTCCCTTCAAGTAATCTTCTCAAGAACTTTGCATACTGAAAGAATGAAGAGAGGCCTTGCAGGTTTTGGGTACGTGGATGTGGGAGGGAAGAAGTCTAGCATGAGAGACCTTAAGACAGGATCTTAGCAAAAGGTAGAGTAGGTACAAAAGCTTGAAGTACTCTTACTCAGTGAGCTAAAAATCACTCATGTTGAGACACTTCCCAACCAGCAAAGGCAACCTCGAGCCCATCAAAATAGAGTGGTTCAGGAAGGCCTTTAATCAGTTAATTAAGGACTACAATGTCAAGGCTTACTGGGTTTAAATGAGGGGTTTCCATTAATGATAAGGCTGTATCTGTGCCTAAGGACAAGGGGCTGTGAAGATCCTGGTGTACCATCAAGTAGTCTGTGACAGACCAAAAATAGTTGCTGAATGAGCCTAGGAGGAGTTATCCCTTTTCCTCCCTTGGCTTGCAGTAGCAGAAGTGAACAAGGGAAGGGGAAGTCTGTGAGTCCTTCCCCTCCCCTGCAGCTAGCTGCATAGCACTTAAAAGAGCTGAGGAAGAGGGGAGTCCTGGAACCCCTCCCCATAGACCGGTAATACCAGAAGTAGCTGGGAAATATTCACCTATCTCTGAACTAGTGGCAGTAGAAGCACAGGGAGTGGTGGAGGGTAACTCTAAGAAAATCTGCCCTGTGTAGCAGTACCTCTGTGAGCAGAGACCTGCCAACAATGGGTTTGTCCAAGCACACAGGTTAGAGGGTACCCCTCGTGTGGATACATTTTAATAGAGATCATATCACAGACACCTTCATGATTAAATACCATCCTTGTACCAACTACAGCAATTACTTTCATGTAATAGTAGGAAAATATTTAACCTATTTTCTCTTATTTTAATGGCATTTTAGCAGCTGGAAATGAAGAGTAGCCAGCATCATGTGTGACTAGCCAGCTCTCTGCATACTGCTGTCACCTGGCTGATCACCTGTGGCCTGCAAACCAGAGTTTGGGAAACTGCTTCGAACACAAGCAGTGCAAAACTGAAGTGTAGAAGGGAGGAAAAGCATCACTTATGTCTGCCCTGTACTCCACACAAAGAAAGAGGGAATTATGGGAAGAAGAATTCTACCATCCAAAGAAATAGATAACTGGTCAGGAATAGGGGAAAGCATTTACTCCTTCTAAAGAGAGGCAGTAGACTGCAGGGAGAGAAGCACTTTTTCTTCTAGCCACCGAGAGAGATGAGAGAACAGGAAGAAATCCCCCACAAAATAAATGGGAAGCTGGCCTCTGGGGTGTAGGAGCATCATTCGTACAACTGGCAGAACTGTAAGGCACATTTGCTATGCCATGTCTCTGTTAAGAGGTTAAAGAGGGTAGAAATGTAATTCAGGCTTATAAGAAGCCTATAGTATTCACCTACCAATGGTATTGCTACATCCTCATAGGGTAATTTATCTTCTCTCCATGCATCATCAATCAAATCCAGGATTCTTCCATCCCTCTGCACCTCACTGTCCATCTTTGTGCAATATGCATATGGATAGATCTGTGATACAAAGCAGAAATTATTTGTGATATCCAGACCCCAAAAAAGATGAAGCTTAACTCTATGCTTGCTCTGGCCTTGATCCCTTTATTAAATAGCATTAATTTTTTTTTTTACAGTCCACACAGCGTGGCCAAGTTGGTTTTCATAGTTATTGTTTGAATTGTCCTATGAGAAGCTTGAATACATTACTTTCTCTACCAATTCAGTTTTTGTCCATGTAACATTTAGTTTCCCTCCCTATTCAAAAAGGGGTTTAAATTTGCATTATAGCCATCTCCCTTAAAGGGTCACTGTCAAACATTATTGTAAACAAATTTTGTTTCCTGATAGAGTACCACCTAAAACTGTGTCTCAAATTGATTTAAAATTCCTTTATAAAAAAAATGGTTAAGGCTATTTCTGCTCTTGGGTTTGTTTATTCAGCTTCAGGTATAATGACCATCCCCACAGAATTTAAATACTTAGAAGCATCTTTAGGATAGGCCTAAGAGCTCAGACCACTCCTCCCCTGCATGCAAATACCTGCCTACTGCTTGTTACCTGTTTACTTTCCATCATGGATCTGCTGCCATTACTGGCAAACACTCTCTAGCAGAGTGTGAGGAGTGGTGTGCACCATCAAGACAATGAAAGTGACCCTTCTCAAAATACTGTCAAAGGCAGTGGCACAAATGAAATAGACTAATAAAATGGAGGAAAAAGGAGAATCTTCTCCAAGCCTCATCAGCCATAGTAATCTCAGGGGTTGCGTGTGACAACTGCATTACTACACTCGTCTTCAAATAGTATCGCCAGACACCCCTACAAGCAACGCCTACAAGCAATCAGCCAGAGGATGATGGCTCGGGTTGTGTGACAGCCGGGCATGGCTGACATTTTTTATTTAAAACCAAAGCACAGGTGGAACTAGGTTTGTGCCAGAGCGGATGCACGTAGCCGCCCGGCTGCCGCTTTTCCACAGGTGACACATGAAACAGCCCTGTTCCTTGCAGCAGGTGTCAGGCGAGGCACGAGCCAGGGCAGGGCGGTGGCTGGCGGTCAGCCTGCCAGAGAGCGACCCTGGCCTGGGGCAGCGGGGGGTGGAGGTGCGCAGGGGCGCGCAGCCTGGATGCCCAGGGAATGGGCTTCACCCCCACAGCTCCCATGGAGACGCACGGGGGGGAGCAGCCTCCACACAGGACCCGCCCCTCCGACTCAGGGAGGGGACCCCAGGCAGCGGCCTCAGCGCGGCTAGTACGCATGCTCACCCGCTGGGCATACGCAGCAACCCGCCCCGGTCCCGGGCTCTGTCAGCGGCCTCGGCTCCCCCGGGGCTGAGGGGCCGCAGCGGCGGCGGGCCCAGCCTTCTACGCCACCCTCCGGGCCGGCAAGGAGCCGTCCTCTCCGACGTCCGGGCCTAGCCCCCGCACCTGACACCCTGCGCGCACGCCGTCTCCTGCCAGCGGCCCTAGGAGGAAACCACGTGACCGGCGGCGCTAGGCCGCGCGAACCATAGAGAGTGGGAGGGTGCGAGTCCGCCGAGGAGAGAGAGGCCGGCCCCGGAGGTAACGGCTCGACCGGGCTAGGCTGTGGCGAGCGTGTCTGGTCGTGAGTGGCTCTGCGGGGCTGGGTCTGACTGTAAGTGTCTGACTGTCCCTGGTGACCGAGTGGCTGTAGCCTGGTGTCCGACCGTGGCTGTCCCCGTGGAGCTGGGTCTGATTGTACCTGGCTGTGTGGTGAGGTAGTTGTAGCCTGGTGTCCAGCTGTGGCTGTCCATGTCTGACTGTACCTGGCTGTGACAGTCTGACTGTTTCTGCATGACCAGGTGGCTGTAGCTTTTTGTCCAGCTGTGAGCCTGTAACTGTCCCTGCGGGGCTGTGTCACACTGTGTGTGTGTCCAACTGTGCCTAACTGAGTGTTTCTGTGTGATGAGAACAGGAGTACTTGTGGCACCTTAGAGACTATTATTATGCTCTAATAAATTTGTTAGTCTCTAAGGTGCCACAAGTACTCCTGTTCTTTTTGCGGATACAGACTAACACGGCTGCTACTCTGAAATCTGTGTGATGAGGTGATTGTAGCCTGGTGTCCAGCTGTGACTGTTCCTGCAGGGCTCTGTCCCCTGACCCCTCTGGGGCTTAGTCTTCACTGCAGAACTGTGGTTGTGCATCGAGAGCACCAACTTGAGATCAAAGTAAGATGGTTCTCTCGCTGTGAGAGCCTAGTGGGGATCTGTCATAGAATCATAGACTTTAAGGTCAGAAGGGACTATGGGTCTCTCCCCCCTCGGGGGAGCCAGGCAAAGTAAAAGTTTACAGCATCTTTCTGTTAGTTGACCTGAATTACAAGTTGGCTACCTCAGTGTGCAAACGTGCTGCTTCTGCAGTGGAGACAAAACGTGTGCCCCGGTGGCTGTGGCCCTGTCTTGGCTGGGACTCACTGGTGAGTTTGGATTAGTTGTAGGAGTTGGTACCTGCCCAACCACTCACAGTTTCTGGATCTGGAGTTGGAGCTGAGTTCCGAGCAGCAGCTGCTGGTGGGAGAGTTTGGGGTAGGGATAGCAGATGGGGCACTCCCATCCTTGGTGCTGCTGCTGGTGCCCTGTCACTAGCACTACTTCCTGCTGAGTGATGAGACTGTGATATTAGAGGAGAGCAATGAGCCGGGGAGACACTTTGACACATTAACTTACTCTATGAATGTCAGTCATAATGCATGTCTACACTACAGTTGTAATGTAATTGCAGCACGTGTAGGTATACCCAGTTTAGCTTTATTCTGGCTAGCATAGGTACCAATGGCAGTGAAGCCACAGCTGTCAAAAGCCATGATGGGGATGGTTAGGCCTAGCAGTCGGAGCCGTGGTAGTCAGAAAGTGAAAACTAGTTGCTTTTAATAATTCTTATTCTATATTTTTTATTACTATTTATATCAAACCCTGAGGAACCTGGGTAGTCCCTTAAAAGAAACACCTTTTCAGTCCATCTTCCATCTAGTCTGATCTCTGACGGTGCCTGGTAACAGATGCGTCAGAGGCAGATGTAAAACTCCATAGTGCACCAAGTGTGTAACACTAGCACTTAAACCATTTTCAGTTCTGGTTCATGGAGAGTCAATGCAGGCAATGGTTCAGAATAACAGTTCAATATCCCAGTGGTAGATTGGGCTTTTAAAGACTTACTTTCTGTCCTTGGGTTTTACCTAAAAGTTGAGATTGATTTTTGTTAATTTGGGTACTAGGGGTTGAGGATTCTCAGTGGAGCAGCTGTAGGTTCCCTCATGCTTGCCCCCAGTTGGCTGAATTTCAGGGCACATTGTAGAATCTGCTTTAATAAATACCATTTTAAGGTCTGATGTCTTACAACTCAGGAGGTCTAAACATGAAGACTATTTTATTCCATTGGAAAGCTGGTAGAAACCCCCCCCTCTCTTAAGTGGTAAAATTTTTTAATTTCTAGTCCATTCAAGTCAGGAGATGTCAAGGCTGAATCCCCACTCTGTCACTCCGAGTGCAGAAAGTGGGGGCCCTCAAGGATTCTAAAAATTAATACTTGTCACATAAGGCTTGTATTAAACTCCCAAGGTTAAACTCTGACCTTGGCTTGGTAAATGCTGCCACCACCCAAATGCAAAAAGCCCCCTGTGGATCCAGGAAGGAACACTTGGGAATTCCTCCCTGTGGGGTACCCTCAAGCCCTTTCACCCCCCCTCCCTCCGCCCTGGGGAAGAGCTGAGAAAGTAAACAAAGGAAATTAGCTGTGGCCACCAGCTAATCAAACAGCCTATTGTGCACAACCCTATTAGGACACAAATCCAAATCCTCCTTAAAAAAAAGGAAATGTTATTAAAACAAAAAGAAAGAAAATACATCTGGAACTGAGGCTTTTGCTAGATTTTAAAAGAGCAATTTCCAAGAATTAAGCACCCAAAATAGCTTCTTGGGGTTCAACTTAAAGGTTACAAGCAAACAAAAGCATCTGGGGTTAGCACAGAGGAGATCCACAAGCCAAAATAAAGAATAAACCTGATCGCATTTATCTAAACATTCCCTATCCAAATGATTCCTTCAAGGTATGGAAGATAATTTTTCATACCTGCTTCAAACTTTACACAGCATTCCTGCTTATAGCATTGCTGCTGTGTCCCTACAGCCCAGAGAACAACAGACAAAGGGAAAGTTTTTCCCCCCAATTTTAAAAAGTTCTCCCTTCCCATTGGCTCATTTAGTCAGGTGCCCACTCCTTTTCATTTACCTATGGGCTTGCTCACCCTTTACAGGTAAAACAAGCAGAGAACAGACCAAGAGGGATTTTACAGCTGTCTGTCTGTCCATCCATCAAAGGGAGCTACCTCCTCTCCCCAATGTATCATAGGAAATATTACAATTTAAGATCACATCATTCTGAATATCATTTTGAGTTTTTCCTCAAATAGGCCGCAATGCAGCAAGGTACTCGAGCATAGGTCTAAATTTCACTTCAATGGGACTACTTGCGCTTACAGTTGGGCTTGTGCTTAAGCATTTTGCTGAATGTTAAGGCCTTAAAGTCTGACGCTATTTTAGCAGCTGCCGTCTTGCGTTGTTAAAGCATTAATTTCTAGCTTTATACTATCTGCAAGCTTGGAATTGCACTCTGTAGTATTTGTAAGATATCTGCTGCTAGAACCATATCAAGTGTTCGAACAGAAAAAAACCCCCAAGCAATGTGATATGGTGATGTAATTATAATGTCCAGTATCTTGTTACCTCTCAAGACTGGAAACACCTGTGACAGGTCAATACAAATGCTTTCAGCATCAATAAACTTTTCTAAGCAAAAATCCAGGACCGCTGCTGAGAGGGGGTGGGGGGGGGAAGATGCTTGAAGGTTCTTTTCCATCTGGCATTGAAACACACTAGTTTTATTATTATGGACTCCTTAATTATGGAGTTGGAATTTTATGTTTTGTTTTCAAGAAATACGTATTTTCCATTTATTTTGAAGATAAAACTAATGGACTTTGCAAGCTGATGCGATTGGAGGGAATGGAGGGGAGGCCACCTGACATTTTTTGAACCAATAGCAACGTTGATAGCTACCTGCTGTTATGTTATAAGTCAGGGCCTCATGTGTGATTGCAGAATCTAAGAATTATTTTGGGGAAGTTCTCTGGTCTGTTTTATACAGGAGGTGAGAGTAGATGATCACAATGGTCCATTGTGACCTTGGAATCTATGAATCCACTGCTTGCTGTGGAATTGCTCTCCAGAATCTAGTGTGTCACTTAAAAAAAGTTGTTTTGAGCCTATATGTTTGGAAGTCTGGCATTGTGACAAGCAGTGTGTCAGGGTTTGTATGGGAGTTTGTAGCTTAATGTGTAAGGTAATAGGATGGACATGGATTGGGGATTTGGGGGAGGAATAGCGGTGAGAAGTGAGGGGATGGGGTTGGGGTAGGCTGTACCAGAAGTTTGCATGGGTGTGTGTTAAAGAAGCTGGAGGAGCAGTGACTTGAGGCTTTGATGTGAGGAGGAAACTGATGTACAAGCTGATGTACTAGTAAGCTCAAGAGTAATCCTTTGACATTGGTTTCCCTCTCCACTTCAAAGCCTCAAGAGCTAGGGAGCTGTCTCTGGGAACCCTCATGGAGCTGGATGAGAAGGGATTGCTTGCAGTGTGGTGGCATGAGAAGGCATGCGTCCTTACATATATAATGCACAAGATGCTTTTTAAAAAGCACAGTTCACTTACACTTGCAATACATAATATTAATACACGGCAGAAGGTCTCAATGCTGGTGGTGTCACATTTCCTGTAAGGATCAGAAATACAAGAGCCAGATTTCCAATGAAATGCATGAACACCGCTATATCATTTTGCTGGGGCACACAAACCAGCAAATAAGGCACTGTTGAGCATGTCACCTCTTTTATTCATGACAACTAGCAAAAAAATCCTCAACCTCAGAATTGGCAAAAGCCTGATTCTAACTGCAGACAGATGATAAAGGCAAGCAAATAGTTCTAAAACTGACAATGACCTTTCAAGGCAATAATAAGCATAGTACTCTCTTCATCAGGCTGTGGAAACAATGAAGTAGGCCCATAGGCAGTCTAGAATTAAGATTTGTTGGGAAGAGTATGTGATGCTCAAAAGCTTGCTTACTTTGACCCCTTCCTTGCTGACTGTCAGAACCCTATGATGAATTCTATTGATGTACCAGTACTTCAAAGGAGATATACAAAAATTATTAAAGCTAATGTTAAAATTATATAATACATAGGCTAAGAAAAGAGTGGCACTTGGCTTAGCACAGGTCTGGGTAATATCTCTGAATTAGTCCAAAGATTACAGTTACAAGGTTTTAATTTATCTTCACAATGGAACAAAAACCCTTGTGGCTAATCACTGTCTATGCCCTTTTCTTCTATATGCATGCATTCAGAGCTGAAGAGTTAGTCATCATCACTACTATCATCAGCCTCATTCAGTTTTAGTTGAAAGCCTCAAGCAACCCTATCCTGTTGCATATGGGGCCATCTAAAGACTTCCACAATTACCAGTGCCTCTCCCAGCATTCAGTAGGTGAGCTCTCTGCTGCTCACCTACTGATATGGTGTGAAAGGGGACCTTGAACTCCTCCAGCAGAGCTCCCAACGAGAGTTGTTGCCAGAGTACTGGTCACATCAGAGCACAAGCCGGGATCACATCATACTGACACAGCTGCCAATGTTTGAGGAAGAATGTGAAGGGAAAGTCAGGAAATAAAATCTTGCAGAGGAATAGATGTGCATTGAATCCATTGTTAGTTTTAATAGGAATAACTTTGTTATTGGGGATTCAAAACTGGTGCCTCTCATTATCCTCACTGGATGCCAGACTGACATTGCAAAAATACCTAGAGACTAGCGATGAGAGAACTGCAAGAGGTCTGGTATTTAGAGAAGGTACCAATGGAGGTCCTGTGACCTTTCTCCCCAACGGATCCAAACTGTAGTTATTTTCTTGGCAGGAGAGAAAGGGGGCAGCAGCCTGTTCCTCCCCCACAGACACACTCACTCCCTCTTTCTAGGGGCAGGTGGTCTGTACTGGCACCTGTAGCGAAAGCCAGTAGGCACATGTTTCCTGGCAACTGGGGCGTATCTCCTTCCTCTTTCTTCCCTATGGATACCATCTTTCTTTCCACGTCTGCCCCTTGATGTTTTTCCTGTCCCATTTTTTTCCTTCCATCACCAGTTGATTGGACCCCCGTTCCTCAGAGTTATGGGCCAGCCCTCTTCACTGCAGCTTAAATGAGTGGGGAGGGAGTTGATGCTGCCATTGTATTGCTCAGATGGGTCAGAGTGGGAGGCTGGTGAATGATTGCTCCTGGCTGTTTTTCCCTATCTCACTGTCTGCTTTGCACCTGGAGTGGGGGGGGGGGCAGTCAGCTGTCTGCCTCCTACAAGATCAGCACAGCAGGCTTTAATGATGAGAATCCAGTATTAAATAAACAAACTTCATGCAGCAGCAATCAACAGTCCTGGGGCATTGGCCAAGACTCTATATCTAGGATTGTTCCATCCAAATCAGGGCAGGTATGTGAAGCTGGCAGATGAGGCACTTGCCTTGTGTGATATAATCTAGGGAGCTAAGTGGAAGCGGAGGTGGACATTTCCCAGTTTCCTATGACAGTAAAACATCTTACTGCTGAACATTAACTCCTTCTTCAAACTCTCCTGACAGGAGCTACTGTGTGAGAACTCAGATTGTTCTCCAGGTTCAGTGTCTAAATTTAAGTAAAAACAACAAGGAGTCCTTGTGGCACCTTAGAGACTAACAAATTTATTTGGGCATAAGCTTTCGTGGGCTAGAACCCACTTCATCAGATGCATGGAGTGGAAAATGAGGAGCCAGGTATGAATACATGAACAGATGTGAGTTGCCTTACCAAGTGTAAGGTCAGTCTAAAGAGGCCATTCAATTAACAGCAGGATACCAGGGGAGGAAAGATAACTTTTGGAGTGGTAATGAGAGCAATTTAAGTAAGTTATCTGTAATTGCAGTATTGTCAACCCCAAATGTTCAAAAGTCACGAGTCAGGATCACCAAAATCATGAGATTTAAAATCTTTAAAACATGAGATTATGTAAAATAATAGATTTGGGGTTCTTTTTATTTGCTTTCTGCTTTTTGAGCCTTTAGGGTGTACTGGGGTCACATTTTGAAGCTCTCTCCACAGCCACGAGGGCTAGAAACTTAGTTTTCCTTTAAGAATGAAGGCTGAAATCATCACATATCCACTTGACTCCAGGAGTTGGGGCTTTAAAGAAAGCAATAATTATCATGAGACTCCTGACAAAATCATGAGAGTTGGCAACACTGCAAGTTGCTTCAGGAAAGTGTGAGTTGAGTCTTTTTGGTGGTACAAGTTGAAATGATGGCATGGTTGATCAAAGTAATGTACTGCAAATGTAAATCAACAATGCTTATTTTCATAGCTTTGAGACACCAGAAGACTGTTTTAAAAATCATTGATATAAGCAATATCAGTTTGTTTGTTTATTTTGCACAATGTTACGGGATTGACAAGTAGCAGTGCAGTCTGGAAGGGAAATTAAGTCTCATGCTTGAGGATTTAATCCAATTTCTATTGGCGTATATCTAGACTATAGCTGCTACAGTGGCACAACTACCGTGCTGCAGCTGTAGTGCAGTAGTGCAGACTCCTCCTACATTGATGGAAGGTTTTTTTTCTATCGATGTAGGTAATCCAACTCTCTGAGAGGCAGTAGCTAGGTTGACAGAAGACTCCTGTAACTCAGCTGCATCTACACAGAAAGCTAGGTTGACCTAGCAGCAGTGCTCAGGATGCAACATTTTTCACGGCTCTGAGTGTTTCAGCTAGGTCTACGTGTAGACCTGGCCTCACACAGCAGGGTAAGATCTAATGTGGGGACAGGTTATCCCACAGTTGCCTACTGTGGAGTTCTTATACCCTTCATCTGAAGTAGCTGGTGTTGGCTACTGTCAGAGACTGGACAGTAGACCAGATGGACCTTGGTACTGATCCAGTCAGGTAATTCTTACGTCTCGTCACTTCTCTGCCCTAGAGAGTGAAAATCCCTCGAAGTCCAGTATATCCTTAACAGTTGGATTAACCAGACTACTAATGTTCACATACTGAATATGTATTTCACCTCCACTATTGAAGCATTGTATTCACTGGATCAGACTATTGTATCATCCAGCCAATGGTGATGAGTGAGAAGTAATTCTGACTCTTATTGTAATGAGGTTTGTTTTGCTGCTTTATCTGGCCAACATTTGGCCTGTAAACTCATTGAAATGATAACTGTTCTCCCTGTTATTCCCATGCACGTACTGTAAATTGTGTAATTCTTCACCTTCCCTGCCTCCTAGACTTCTATCATGATCTCCAGTCAGCTGTGGAGGGACTACAGTGGCTGATGAATTGCCATGGCATGATCTCTGCTTTGTTTGCTTTCCCAGCTGCCAAAGAGGACGTGACTTGGTGATGGAGGCTTTGCTGGAGAGAATGCAAAATCAAGGGCATGGAGGGTATGTATACCACCATTTACAATGCTCTCTCAAACTCATGCAGCTTCACTTTTATATCGGTTCAAATCCTACAGTCCTTTGGTTCGCTCCTTAGTCAGACAAAATCTCCTTTGCTTATTGTGACAGATAGGAGCCACAAGTAGGGACCAGGACCCATTGTGCTAGGAGCTGTAAAGGGTGTTATGTTTGAGTAAGATCTTTAGGATTTGGCCAGTAGGGCCTGATCGTGTATCATTAACTTCAGTTGGAGCAGGTGCAGGGCCATAGTGAATTGCTTTTCCAAATAGTCCCTGGCTACAAGCCTTTGTTGTTTTAATAGCTGGCATTTCTGTACTATTATCTTTCTGCAAAATCTCTGTTATATTTTTCAGCCTTCTTACAAGTTATTCTACTGCTATGTGCAGTTATGGCCATAAAAGTGAATATGTAAAAATGGCACCACCTTACTCTGTGGATCTATTTCAATCTGCTTACTTTACTGATGGAAATACGGCTAGCACTGCATGCACCTATAGGAGAGTGAGCTGGATTCTCTCCTGGCTCACACAACATCAACAGATCTTAATGAAGTTCCAGTTGCAGAATCTTGCTGCAGCCAGGATAAAAACATAATGACTCATAGACTTTAAGGTCAGAAGGGACCATCGTGATCATCTAGTCTGACCTCTTGCACGTTGCAGGCCACAGAACCTCACCCACTTCAGTTCCTAGGTTGAGTCAGCAGTGCTGGTAGTTGAACAAGCATCTTTTTTCTTGTTAGTTGAGCAAATACGACATAAAAGTAATTGTTCCATTTGTCTCAATGGCATGCCACTTTTATATTCCTTTTTCCAGAATTTGCCCCAGTTCTGAAGATGGCAAAGACTTATCTCTTTGCCAAGTAATGGTTTTAGAACTTGGATATGAATTGTACAACTACTGTCATTGAGTGGGAAATGTTCTTAAGGACCATAATTACTGCTTAATGTTTGGTCAATTCACAGGACAGGGTGAACTTCAAACTGAACTGTGAAGCTGGCTCCTTTAAGAACGATTGGCATTCCCTATAGAAAAGCTGTCAAGTTTTGAAGTGTACGGACACTCCAGGGAGACAGAGGAATTTCAATCCCTTGACCTATTGATTTCCATTTCTTTTCAGTCCTTCCTATTTGACAAGCAAATTAAAGGGGTAAAGATCAGTATGGAGTTTACTTCTCTCTTGGGCTCCATCTTGCAAGCTTTAATATTGTCCCAAGCGTAGCAGCTTGTAAGGTTTCAGAGAAGTTAGTTGATTTGGCTTCAGTGATTACTGCACCAAAATTGAAATTTCAGCGTGTCTAGGGAGCTAACTTTCGCCAGTAGACTGGAGATGTTTTATTCTTCATTACGGTGTTGTTATCCACCCTGCTTTACTTAAGTGTTTGTCAGCATTTATGTGATAAACCTCTATTTTCAGGAGCTGATAAGTTAGCTGTAAGATTTATCTGTGATTGGAACTTGGTTCAAAAAAATTTCTGCTTGGGGACTGTGAACTGTCCAGACTGTTTCCTGTGGAGCCTGTGGGACCGTTGTGCCCCTTAACTCTCCAGCCTGGACTGTCTCTCAATGCTGTGCCAGTGACAAGCAGCCAGTCCCTACAGGTGCTGTGATCACTCAGCTATCAGCATGTGGAGACTCACACCCAGCTAAATTGCATGAATGCTCTCCAAGCCACTCATGAATCATACACAGAGAGGCACCAGCCAGTCACCCAAGACCCCAGCCTTGCACCCCAGAAATATATCATCATACAGTGCTCAAGACTCCCCTGGATGGTGCAAAAACTCATTAATTAGTTCACCACTCCTACAAAGGGTAGTAGATGTGCAACAGCCATTGTTAACCTGAGCTGAGGTTCCCCAAGCA